ATCACAGTACCATGTTTATAGATAAACAACTCTCCCAGTACCATGTTTATAGGTAAACAACTCTCCCAGTACATGTTTATAGATAAACAACTCTCCCAGTATCATGTTTATAGATAAACAACTATCCCAGTACCATGTTTATAGATAAACAACTATCCCAGTACCGTTAAAAAAGAGTCGTTTAAATATTTCATTACTTATCTAAAACTTGTAACTGCTGAACTTCGAGACACTTTAAATGAAATACCCTTTCTTCACGGTATTATAACATTCCAAACTCACCTTTTGGTTATTATCATACTTTACTAAGATAAGACAAAGGTGTACGAGCACATGGCAGTGAAAGAGTTAAAAACTAAGAATACGAGGACTTTCACGTGCGACCCACAGTGAATGTAAAGTACAGTTGCTAGGGTTATATTGTAAAGAGTAGTCACGTGTGGACCAATAGTTACTGTTAACTGGCTGTCTTATTTTATGTTGAATATTCAAATTCTAAGAAGTGCCATTTAGAACGATTACTTTTGGAATTTTAAATCGGTGAAATTTAAAAAAGAAATGATGACGTGGCATAATTTACCAATTTGTCATTCACGAATCGTATTTAAATTTGGATTAATAAATACTATATCTATTTATGTGGCTTAAGAAAACAGATACGTGATCCTACCATTATAAGGCGTGAACTTGGATTTCGTTAAATTAGAAATATTATTTACATTCGACACGTGAAAACTATCATTTAAGACAAAATGCGAAGATATAATGTCAATTTTGTTTTTAATACTTCAGTTTTGTAACATCATGAATCACGCGGGTTGCAGTCAATTTGTATTTCTTTCTCTCTTTCTCTCTCTCTCTTTTTTTTTTACTCCACGATGTCAAGCCTGAACATTAATCCTAATATTTCTTCGTTTCATTTCCTGGGTACTCTTTGATAGCCACCACCTTGGTGTTCATCCGCTTCTGCTTGTAATACCAGTATTCTATCGCTAGGGTAATGCAAGCCAACACCACTCCGATGAAGATGACAATAAATACGCCACCTGTGAAGAATATAAATATTTTGATGAAAGGTTATTGATGTTTATAATATGCATTCGCATTTTATCTATATTTCATACCTTTTGTAAGACTTTAGGATTTATTTTTATTTTCCCAATGATCAAGCTTAAAACTAATAATAACTGTTTCTACTTTGATCATTACTTTTCTGTTGACTCGCTTATAGTATCCTAGTGAGTCAGCGGTAAGTTTATGAACTTAAAATGCGAAAATCCATGATTCGATTCCTTGCACTGGAGAAAGTACATATATAGACCACTGTGTAACTTTGGGCCCAAAACAACCAAATACAGACTCGCTTACACCAATAGAATTGGTATACGTGCCTAACTTAAAAAACTATTGCTTTATCTCTACTAGTTAGGTAATTAATTCGTTTTAAATAATACAGAAACAACTTGAAGTAATATTTTTTTATAAAATTAGTAAATTCCCAGTGCCTTCTTTTTTTTTATGTGACGAAATAGGCAAGATTCACTCGGTAACATTCCAACAGCTACATAAGGACTATCTGTGCTTGTCTCTTTTTTCATTTTGAACAGGTCGATTATAGAGGGAAGGTAGGTAGTCAACAGCACCCTCTAACAACTTTTGATCTAGTGGGATTCGATGTGATCTACAGCGCACCCATGGCCCCAATTTGTGAAATAAATTTTGTCGTAAAGGGACACGAACTATAATCCTCAGATTAACAGCCAGTGCATAATAATCTCTATTTGAGATAATCATTAGGATACAGAATACTTAGTTAATGTTATTATTGATATACGAATAATTTAGAAAAATAATGTCTGTATATTTCTGACATAAATTGTAGTAAAATAAATAATTCCATATTAACATTTAAAAAAAAATTCATTAAGAAAGTTTTTAACTCTAATATAAAAATCATCAACTGTTAATGTGTAGAGTTTGCATTTTATTTTATTTTCTGGGTTTTTTTTTATTATTTATTGTGGTAATTTCATTGGCTCAGTATCGAATCCAAAACCTCTTGCACACAATGCAAGTGTTTTAGCAACTGAGCTCTTGCTAGTAAGGTACTATTTTATTACTAACTACCACATTCTTCCCTTCTCACACAAAAATAGACTCGCCCTCAGGCTACGTGCTGGACGCCAGTTTTTTGTTTTTTTTTTGTGGTAATTTCTTTAGCTTGGTAACTAATCCAAGACCTTTTGCATGCCAGGCGAGTTCTTTAGCAACTGAGCTCTTGCTAGTAAGATACTGTTTGATAACTAACTACCACGTTCTTCCCTTCTCACAAAACAAGGCTTGCCCTCAGACTGCACGTTGGTTGCCAGTTTTTCTTATGGTAATTTACTCGTCTTGATAACGAACTAACAACTCAAGCTACCACACTATTACCACATTATGAGTTGCAAAAAAAAAATTAATTAATTATAAAATATAATTTGCTTGGGCATTTACTCAGGCGACACTTCTCCTCAGTATTTAAAAGGTGTTTAAGCACACATTGTGAAATAAGTGCCAATAAGGATTGATGCTATTTGTAATATTTATATTTAAATGTTTAAATGCAGTATGTCTTATGTGAAACGAATACGATTTTGGTCAACATTTTGCTTCTGTGTCACAGCACGAAATGCGACACTCCACGTACGCTTTTATAAGTTGAAACGTTAAGAGATGAACTTTCTGAAAACCCTCCCCAGTGGCTCATCAGTAAATCTGAAGACTTATAATGCTGAAAACTGGGTTTAGATACCCGTCGTGGGCACACTACAGATAGTCCATTGTTTAGCTTTGCACTTAACAACAAAAAACAGTCAGTTTTCTTAACTTTTGATTACTACAGACGTTAACTTTATAAACTCTACTTGTTATTTATTTGTTCATTTATATAATTGTTATGATAATTAATATTCTGAGTCTACGCTTATTTCTTCTTTCATATATATAAATGCTGAATACATTGGTTTTCCACACAAACCTATATTTCCAATGCTAATTCCATCACTCTGTCGGTCACTGTCGTCACAAGTCACACGTTCCTTATTCTTGTTCCACCATCTTTCCTTTAAACCTTCCAGTTTCCTCTGGTTGAGTAATTTTAGAATCCTGGAAGATAAGAAAAAAGTCCAAGAGTTAAAGTTCAAGATAAAAACACACGTGCAAGGACTAACACGTGTTTTTGCGCCATTTTTATAAGATTCTCACCATAAAAAATTAAAGTTATTGATATTCTTATAGGTTCCATTGTATCTATTCTTCGTCAGATCTTTCTGTAATACAGTATATACTTTTTATCTTTATTATTTGCCAATGTAAAGTAACTTTTTTAAATACATAGTTGCGAATACTTCCCAAATAACTGCTACGTACAAACGTCCACATTGCTGGAAAGCATCAAGTACGAATTAATTGGACGTTGTTTAGTTTTAACTGGTATTAATATTAGGCATATGGGCTAAATGGCCAGATCAGAGATATAAAACTAATGAACAGAGAGTTAAAATGGCAACCAATCAGCAACACCCCTGCTTATTTGTGATTTCACTGTCACAGTTATAACACCCCCACAGCTAAAAATAGGCGTATTCAGCAGCTTAGCACGGCTCGAACCCCTTGGACTTCCTAATCCGCATCCCAGCACATTACTTATTATTATAATTCTTGAAAGGGCAGCTTATTTTATTATATATATATATACTTACAGTTGGCTTACAAACTGAAGAAAAGTAAAACTTTATGCGATAGATTTTTAAAATAAAGTTAAAAATACTTGACTTTAAAGTTAACAGTTGGATGAATATATTTATATAAAAAGCTATAATTAAAATGATTCACCAATACTCATCTTGGGAGAAACTGAAAATTTTCTATAGTGCTGACATCTAGGGAAAAACTGAAAATATTTTACAGTGTTGTTTACCTCTAGGAAGAAACTGAAAATCTATAGTGCTGACATCTAGGGAGAAATGGAAAATATTCCATAGTACTGACATCTAGGGAGTAACAAAATCTTTATAGTGTTGATATTTAGGGAAAAACTGAGAAATATTCTACAGTGCTGACATCTAGTGAGAAATTGAAAATATTCTACAGTGTTGACATCTAGGGAGAAAACAAATATTCTACAGTGCTGACATCTAGGGAGAAACTGAAAATCTTCTATAGTGATGACATCTGGGGAGATATTTTACGGGTGTTCTTACCACCTGCATTATCACTGCATACTGCAATACAATTGTGAACTTACGCACTAGACAACTGGTCTTTCAAAGGGGAACCTTGTTGAACTGCTAGAGCCAGTGGTTTACGGCTGAATTCATTTCCAATTTCTTCTAAGTCACAGTTTGTCATTGTGGCGTATTTCACTTGCGTGGAGTCAGCTGCAAGAAACAAAAGGCTCATAGCTCGCTTCTGGTGATAGTTTTAAACACTCAATCCTTGTTAAAAAAATCATCATTTCAAAATTACAGAAAAGGCTTAGGATTCCGGTCATTTTTCATCGCATCAGTATTCAAATGTATATTCAAATAACGTCTTAAAAAATAATGTAAGCTATCAAACCAAGTAATCCAAGGTCAACCTTAAGTTTACGGACTTACAATGCTAAAATCCGAAGTTCGATTTCGCGCAAAGCTACTCGAGGGCTATCTGTATTATCCATCCAATTTAGCAATGAAAGACTAGAGGGAAGGCAGCTAGTCATCACTCTTGGGCTACTTGTTTTCCAACGAATAGTGGGATTGACCGTCACTTTATAACGCCCCCACACCTGAAAGGACGAGGATGGCGAGTTGAGCCCCCTAACAACCAGGCCACGCGAGTAGTGGAAAGAGTGCAGATAACTCCGTGTGTTTAGTTTTACATTAAAACAAAAACAAGCAATAATCCAAGTAATTTATAACATAGCATAATTTAACGATATTTCTCTAAGTGACCCAGTTTTGTCCGACTTTGAGTTTCATAAATTTTCACATATGGAAAGAAAAGAACAAGAACGCTCCTGATAGCGTAGTGGTTGACATTGTGAAATTTTTAGCGAACCTTGTATATTATTTTAATTCAATTACACATTTTCTTTAACTCTGAAATTACCGATTTTTTTATACCGTTCACTTCCGGAAGGGTCCACATATTTCATCATACTGAGTAGTAATATTATGTTAGCCTGTTACCAAACTCAGTCCAAAAAATGATCTAAAAACGAAAGAAAAAAGACGAGATCATTCATATTTTACGTACAATTCGCGGTGATTAGTGGGATTTATTACAATATTGATGATGTTTTTGTTTATAATTTTAACAAGAGAAAGTCATAAGCTGTTTTAATACCGAAAGCACAAACAAGACTAAGTCAGCAGCTGTTTTAATACCGGAAGTACAAGGAAGAGAAAGTCTGCAGCTGTATTAATACCGGAAGCACAAACAAGGGAAAGTCAGCAGCTGTTTTAATACCGGAAGCACAAACAAGAGAACGTCAGCAGCTGTTTTAATACCGGAAGCACAAGCAAGACTAAGTCAGCAGTTGTTTTAATATCGGAAGCACGAACAAGAGGACTGGTGATCAGGACGTTTGACTCTTAACCTGTGAGTCACGAAATTACTTCAAACTTGGAGACACCTAGCGCAGATAGCCCTCGAATAATTTTGCGCGAAAATTCAACTTTTATAGATCTTATTGTTGATGAGTTTTTTTAAACTTAAGATGAAAATTATGATCTCTTACTTGTGATGTTTTAATGGAGAGTGACCCAATATTTCAGCTATGGAGGGGTGGACTAGAAATTCAGGTGGGCCGTAAAATGATACTTGAATAAGGAGGTACATTATGCTATAACAATAATGAAAGAGACAGACTAATGCTCTGTAAAAACATATCCCCCCCCCCGAAATAAATCACATCATGATGGTTATAAATCAGTGTTTACCAACTTATTATAAACATGTGTTTCATAATAAGCTCGCGAGCTGGATGTAAGTCAATCATTAAGCAAAATGCGGTCCTTGGGCCTCCAGCTGAAATGCATTATTTCAAGTTTCTTGGGCCAAATGTGGTCCTTGGGCCGCCAGCTGAAATGCACTATTTCAAGTTTCTTGGGCCAAATGTGGTCCTTGGGCCGCCAGCTGAAATGCACTATTTCAAGTTTCTTGGGCCAAATGTGGTCCTTGGGTCGCTAACTGAAGTGGAATATTTCAATTTTCTTGGACCAAATGCGGTCCTTGGGCCGCCAGCTGAAATGCACTATTTCAATTTTCTTGGACCAAATGCGGTCCTTGGGCCGCCAGCTGAAAT